TTAAAAAAGACCTGAGACCTACAATATCATAATTTATGAAGATGAAACTAAATAAACATCAAGTTAAAGGAAATTGCAAAATAATGTCCCTTGAAACATCATCAGAACCATACAGGAAATGCACAAGTTTCTCAGAAGATATTACATAACCTATTTTATTTTCTGTTTTGAATCTTTTTAGATATAAATACACCATCTTTAAACTGGTACAACTATCATTAACTGCATTTAAAATGTTGGTCAATTACCGGCTTTCCTTGACTTGTACAAGGACTATGGATGTACCTACATCCCACTTTGACATTATAATCTAGTAGTTGATCACTGGGAAGTAAGGGGAAGAGGAAGTGTCTACAGTTTACTCTTAAAGGAGGTTTTCTTACTTCCCTCCTTCCTTTCAGATATTTTCAAGAACTATCAAATCAAGTGTAAAGCTAGCAATGTCCTGGAGTGGAAAGGAGTTACACTGCTTAACACTGCAGCCTCATTACATCTCAACTATCAGAGAAAGAGAAGTTACATCAGAATCAGAATGAGGGGAAAAAAAAAATGAAATTACTCCTTCTGAAAGTCAGCAGTCCTACTACAAGATACACAGTACAACAGGAGAAAGTTAACATTTTAATTGCTTAATTACCTGTCATTTAAAGGCTTAATTTGTACTGTCTGTAAATGTAATGAAATGAAAAATTCTAAATGCAATTACATATACACAAATGTACTGAATTCCTCTATCTTTTCCCATGGATAACAATTAATTATTTTCCTAAAGTATCTCACTAAGAAAACCATCTATAGCATTCTACAGTTATGTGGAAGCATGATCTTTTTCCACTGTATGTTACAAAAGTAGAATTCTGCACTAAAAAGCACCCAAAGTCGTCCTAGGACAACAGGGAATTACAGGTTAACAAGCCACCATCTGAGAGTGAGGAATTTTAAATCTTCCAATAACTGTGTTTTTAATCAGAGCCACATTTAATTTTGATCCATATATTACTGAAGATCATGCACATAACTACTAATACACAAATTTTTTCTTTTCAATATCTTTTATTTTTCCAATGTAATTACATGCTCTTAAATGGCACATTTTAAGACTTCTGTTCCATTTTTTAGATCCTATTGCTACTGCTCTGTTGAAAGACAATTAAACTTGTTTTTAAATAACCTTCACACAAATATGCACATTTGCACCACAAAGAAGTAGTTCAAACTAAGGACTAATGCAATTTCAGATTATTTCAATGTAGTATTGATAGAACTCATGAAAAACATCATAGACTTCTTTGCTCCTTGGATGAAACATCACAGCACGTGCACATTTAAAATAGGACACTGGAACCTGAGCCATAAGTGTGAATGATTACTGCACAAATTTGTTTCCAGCACCAGTCGTAGATACCTTACCCACACCGGGGTCACATCAAAAAGTGGTAGTCACTAAAGTTCTAATATTTATGCTTAAAGAGACTATTCACAGTCATTTGCAAGTTATTTTTACAAAAGTTACTGAAGCTTCATGTTAATCACAGACTATTCATTGCACTTTTGTAAGTATACTGCCATATTTTAATAAAATATATTGCTAGGTCATATTACAAATTAATTATTGATCCCCCTGAGTTGTTAAGATTAAACTTTTACAAACAATAACTTTAAAATGTTAGCTGTAATCATGAACAGTTATAAAGTAAATTAAATCTGTAAATCATAGCTGTTTGCCATGTTTAGATCACTGGCTGTATGAAAGTTTGTTACCACCTATGCAACAACAAAACATTAACTGAACTTTAAAGAACATGTAAATGACTACTGCTGCTTGATGCATTTAATATTTTATTAACAGCAATAAGCACATTTTTCATGACAGAACACTGGAAACAAAGTGATTGCCACAGCTACCACAGAAAACGGGCATGAAAATTTACACAGTTCTTTACATAGTTCTACTGGCAGTAGAAAGTGTACTAATTTAAATACAGCTCCATAAAAGCCTAGCTGGCACTAGGTAATAAAGGATTACTCAAATAACCATAAACCAGAGCTTACAATACTAATTGTTGCATTTCCAAACTATTAATGAATCACAAAAGAGTTAACAATTAAATGTTTACAATTTAAAGATAGGTTGGTTGGGATAAAACGAGAAACGTAGAGGTTTAAAATCAACAATCATAAGAGAATGATAAAGGTGAACTCTCAACAGCTGTCATTAGTTTAATTTGGACTTCCTCTATTTTACGTATATGCTCATTGCTTAAGGCATATCTCAAATCATCTACAAAGAGAAAACCTCACAACTAGATATGCAGCTCTAAAGTAATTTTTTATACTTTATCATAAAATAAATTTGTATGATGCCGTAGGAGAATCAATGCCTACTATGCAAGTACCTTAAGTATGTCTTCTCTCAACAGTATTGGGAAACCTAAGTTCTTCACAGAGAAATGCAGAGTTCGGTACTTGAGCCATGCAGATTTTGTATGTTTAAGATATTAAAGGAAACAGTAATGTTACTTTATTACACAAATATCTATAATCACAGTCATCTAGCTGTGCACTGTGAGAGAGACGTAACTCAACGCTGAATTTCGGACTTTGAATTTTAAGTTTAGAAACACTATCAATAATCTACGCTCCCCCTCTCCATTACATTTTTTGGCTTTCATCTGCTAGAGAGGGAACAAAACAAATAAACCACATTCTCTTCCCGAGTTGCTAGGGCACGTCTAAGTTATGACTCCTTTGCTAAGTTTTTTTCTCAAAAGGAGATATTTTTTAAGTAAATCCATTACTTGTGAAATGTCTTAAAACATCAAAAATTAAGAAAATACTGAAATATAAAGGCTACAGAGAAACATGATAACCTTAGTCCTTCTGAAACATTACCAAAATCACAGTTAAGTTGTACTAAAGCCTGAAAAACTCAAAGTTTTCCCTTTACATTGAGTACTATTCAAGAATGCAGCCTGTCCTCCCATCATCAAGATGGCACGGAAGTAACAATACTGATTTAGGGCATTCTCGTGGTTTAACCCCAGCTGGCAACTAAGCACCACACAGCCTCTTGCTCACTCCTTCCCCCACAGTGGGATGGTGAGAAGAATAAATATAAAAAAAAAAAAAAAAAAAAAAAAAAAAAAAAGATTGTGGGTTGAGACAAGAACAGTTTAATAATAGAATTAAAATATAATAATAGTCATGAAAAGGAAGATTAAAAAAAATAAATAAATAAAACCCAAGGAGGGGTGGGGGGGAAGTGATGCACAATGCAATTGCTCACCACCCACTCACTGACTGATGCTCAGCCAGTCTCCAAGCAGCAACCCCCCTCCTAGGCAGCAACTCCTCCGAGTTTATACACTGGGCATGACATCACACACTATGGAATACCCCACCAGCTCCTTTGGGTCAGCAGTTCTTGCTGTGCCCCCTCCCAGCTTCCTGTGCACCCCCAGCCTCCGCTGGCAGGGCAGTATGAGAAGCTGAAAAGTCCTATATTTAGTATGCACTGCTTAGCAGCAACTAAACCATCAGTGTTTTATCAACATTATTCTCATCCCAAATCCAAAACACAGCACTATACCGGCTACTAGGAAGAAAATTAACTTTATTCCAGCCAAAACCAGGACAAGCACATTCAGTTTTCTTTTTAGGAAAAAAAAATTAAAAAATTAAAAAAAATTCAAAAGGCATTACATGCCCAACTGGGATATTCATCTTGCCTCCAAACAATAAAAAAATTTCCAAAATGACAATTTATTGCACAGCTGTGCAATAAAACTACACAACTGATTTTGGGTACGCATGACACAGGTCTACAGAAGATGCAACATGCATGTTGAAAGATTAGGAACGTGTAAGAGGGGTGGAACCACTGCAGTACTAGAAACCTAAGACAAGTAAGGAGGATGTGAAGCAGTTTAAATTCTTACACAGCCAGAATTGTGGCAGTTTCAAGAAGTGAACAAATTCAGGACTTCACATCCCACAAGGTCCTTAATTAGCATAAACCCTAGACTTTTGGGGTTTTTTATTCAGTAGGTGGTGTGACATGATGAATGGAGAGAGCACTACCCCCAGACTGCATTGATGCAAACTCCCATTTCTGAATACCTACACATCATCTAACTGGTACAATAGTTCCTGAAATGTTTCTAGCCTTGAGAGAATTCATATATTTACAGTTACTAACAAGTCTGGAAAGAAAATAAATATAGCAAAAGTAAATATTGTGGCCAATGCTGAATACAAGTGTTATTGGTAGGGAGAGTATGCACAAAACAAAGTAGACAAGTATAATGCAACAACTTAAATTAGATGCCTTTTTCCCTTGCCTGGTTTTCTGAAATATCTCCAAAGCTAAAGGTTTCTTTACAGATTTATAATAGGTGTACTTTTCTTCACAGAAATGAAATATGTATTACTTTTTTTAGGAAATGCACTATCAGAAATGTCCAAAAAATTATTCTGACACTGTACAAGTCATCACTGTATCACTTCTGTGTTTCGCAACTGTACAAAATAAACTGAATGAAGGGGAAAACCTGTGTTTCATAGTAATCACGCTGTTAACATTTCATTAAAGCAGAATTTGAATTGAAATGTTATGTTAAATGAAGTAAGCTTCTCCTGTAATGTTAGGTCCTTTTTGTGACATGCAGAAACCATAAAAATCTAAACTAGAAGACTTCAATTACAGATAATACACTCAATTCAGTTTTTTGTTTACTTTGAAGAGTAAAACATGTCAGAAGTCTATTTCTGCAGGCCTATGTTAGTATTGTGGTTAAACCCATGCCTGTGTTAACAAAACAAGTTACAAGAACTTAAATATTTTCATTAAGAGACAATTGATATGTCAAGTACAGACACCTCGGGTAAAAAGCACCACTTTCTGATTCAACACTCACACACAGAAATTCCAGTTGCATGAAAAACAAGGTTTCCAAGCCAGAAAACACAGGAGAGCTACTACAACGACACCGATTTCTTACCCTACGCATGGCTTCCTCCTCCTCTTGACGCTTCTCATAATGTGCAAAGTCATCAAAGATTGAGGTGGTATGCTTGAAAGTAGCGATTATTTTAAGCACTTGCTTGGCTTTTTCTAGGGGTACCTCTTGAGTGTCCCTCGAATTGGTAACCGGTTTGTTGTCATTGTTTTCCAAGCGAATATGCCGCAGTTGGTTATTGGGAACGTCTTTGACAAAGATCCATTTGACATCAAACTTCCCCTTCCACTTATCCTGAGACCAGACACCAGCATACGCATTGTAGTCCACAACAGACTTCATCTCAGCCACTCCACAAAAGTGTCCACTGCCATTCACACTGAAGAGTAAATAGAGTGGGCCTTTTCCATTCAGGGAACGGTAAGCAGCATCCAAACGCTTATTACCATGTTCAGTACTACACCAGATAGAGTACTTAATGGAGCGATGAATATCGTCCTCTGAATAACTTTTGATTATAAACACACGTCCATTCTTCAGATTCCAATCGAAGTCTTTGGGATTGTAGTTGTTTATGGCCTTTAGTTTCTCCAGCACTGGGTGCACTTCCACACCAGAAGGTGAGGAGCTGACTGATACAACACCTAAACCAAAGTTCTCGCTACCAGCTCCATTGTTCTGGCTGAAGCCCACACCCCTATTACGAGGAGCTACCCAGCGGTTTTGCAGCTGTTGCTGCTGCAACTGGTGAGGCTGGGCCTGCTGCTGAGGTCCTTGTTGCTGTTGTGGTTGCTGTGGCTGAGGCTGCTGCTGAGGCAGTTGGCTTTGCACCAGTGGTGGTGGTTGAATTAATGGCTGAGGCTGCTGGATTATAGTCTGAGGAGGCAGTACTGGTTGGGCTGGGGGTGCTTTTACCACTGACCCTTTGTCATCCCAAGTTCCAATATTCATGTTGTGTTTTATAGGTGGTGGTGGCACAGCAGGGCCCCCAATGCCCACGTTACCTTTAGGCTTGAGTTTCGGCTGAGGTTTAGCAGGCTTCCTTGCAATGGCAGCCCACGAGGTTGGTTTAGGTGCTGAACTGCTAACTGGGGGCACACTGTTTGCTGCAATGCTTGTCATACCTGTACTGCTCAGAGCTGAACCTACAGTTTTTGTTACAGCAGCTGTCATATCTCCACCAATTTTCAGTCCAGTCATGCCTTGCTCAATGCTGCTAATCCCAGGCACCTTGCTCAGAGTATCACTGCCAAATCCAGCCTGCCCATCCGCTATGGCTCTCCCAAGAGAACTAGGTGGATAGCCATAGTTGCTGCTGTAAGCAGAGCTTTGCGTTGATTGTCCCTGAGATCCACTTGTCCCCCATGTAGAGAAGTCTGCATTCCCAGGAAAAAAATTAAATCCATGCTGCCCAAGAAATGGAGGGGTATTTCCTAATGCCCCAGGTTGACTAAATACACCATCAGGTATGTAATGGTGTTCACCATTACTCATCTGTCCATAAGTTGTCAAGTATGGCATTGGAGGGTCACCTGCAGTTGACCATGCTGCTTCACCTAAAGAGTATGGAAATCCAATGGATGGAGCATAATAGCTAGGCATATATGGGTCTGACATTGGTGGATAGCTGTTACTCTGCAAGAAAATAAAACAAAAATCAGCAATACAGACAATTATGCCCAGGGTAAAAAAACCTGAAACACAGTCCAAAATATTTTTAAAGATCATATGAATACATTTGTAACTCCTATCATTCCTCCCAACCAAAAGATGAACAAGGTATCTGTTAGATTTGGCCATTTTCTTTTTCCCTCAAGAGAACTTTTCAAAGCACTGAAAAGATACATTTTTTTTGTAATATATTATCTTTATTTTCAGTTACTGAGCTAGGCTTAAAATGCCTCTGTGTCAATAGTATCAAAAAAACCAACAAGCTACTTTAAAAAGCAAGTCATAACAACTGTAGCTTAATAAATACAGAAAAATAGCTGCAATTATGACTTAAAGTTTTGGTATTAGTTTTTCGTCAAATTTCTCACTTCTAATTGGAGACACCCACCACAATCTTATAGTGAAAAGGATGCCTGTTTGTTTCAGGAGGAACAACAATTAAACCATAACATTTCCACACCACTGAGAATGGGCAGTAAGTGCAATCTGTGGTCTAGTAGAACCAAGTTTGCTACCTAAATTCAAATCCCACTCCCAAGACTCCTGGGAAATCACAGCGTTTACTTCCTGAGAATATAAAACTCCAAGACATTTGAAGGGCTACCCTCATATGGCTTTTGATGTTGTTTGGGGGAAAAAACCCTGTACATTATCAACTTCTAGTTGATGCCTCCTTAATGTTGCATTATTTGGGCTTTTTTTTTTCTTAAAAAAAAAAAAAAAAAAAGGGAAGGCGAGCAAAATTCTCAAAGCCTTTTCATGATTTGTACTTTCTCCCCCTCTCAAGACCACTACAACTTACAAACTTAACCTAATGAATATTCACTTTTGACTACAGGGACAATTCACAGCTCTGAAAATAAGTCATTAACTTCCTGGCAGAAGAGTTATACCAAGCTGTAGTAATACTGAGCTTCAATCTATTATGCCATCAACTGTGAGCTACTTCTACTAACTTCAAAGGAAATCACATTCAAGCAGTTAATATTTTCTCAGAGACAATGAAACTCTTGTTTTGAACTGCATCCAATATACGATTATTTAATTGTAAATTAAGGTGTAGGGTTTTGTTTTGTTGGTTTTGGTTTTTTTTCCTCAAGTTTCTTGTGACTGCATCATTCTGAAGTCAGAGCACAAGCACAAGAAGAGCATGCTTTTTAACTGAATGTTTTCCAAAATTATTAAGAAGACTTTACCTGTTTAAGATATCGTATGATAAAACAAGGTACAATATAAAATTATATTTCAGTGGATATTCAGGCAAGTAAGTAATGCTAAGAAATACCACCTAAAAATTAATTAAGTCTGGAAGTCAGTTGAACTCCAAAATTAACTTCAAGAAAGTAAACAATGTTCACTTACCTGATTTGTCTGACTACTTAGATATGGCTCAAAATCATCATCATTTACTGCATCCTTTTGATGAATCGAACCGTTCTGTACTGAAACTAAAAGTAAATCTGTATTAGGTATACTCTCTGGAAGATCTATGATGCACTTTTAATCTAGATAACATTTCTCAATCGCTGGAACATCTAAATACTTCTACTTGTGCTTTGTTGAGACTGAACATACTATTGTTAAGCACCACTTTGCTAAATTTAAAGCAAGCAGCTCATTCTATTGATGATCTTAATCAGATCTCAGGAGGGGTCTGGGAAGATGACAACCAGAGTGGACTACTCCTGACTATTCTTTCCTGAGATCAATGGACAGAGGAAAAACTATATCCACGGACAGAGGAGAAACCTTATTTGCACAGGCAGTAAATCCAGCATTTCCAGAAGTACCAGACCAAGTGCAAATGTGCAGACACACCAGATCAGACATATTCAATAGGTTCGGGGAAAGTTGCAACATACAGCTTTCTCCTGCCAGGAGGAAAGGCAGTTACCCACCAAGACAACCATGAAGGGCACCGCTATTCAGCTATTTAATCCTCTATTTCCTACATAACTATTATACAGTACTGCATTAGCAGCACCTCTGAAGCTGAGGGGACAAAGCAAGACAGAAACAAGAGCTAAAGTCCCCAAGGGTGATTACAACCTTTTCCCAGCATATACTCCACTATACACTGGAATCTCTTCCTGCCTGCTCTTCTTGGTCTCCTGTTACCTTTAATTTCATTTAAGGCATTACATCTACCTGAGATTTTCCAGGTGCCCAAATTACTTGAAGTGTGTCTCTCTACCCTACCCCAGGCTAGTACTCAAATTGCACAAATTTCTACTAAGTTCCACTGTTTCCCATGATGCAAAGCAGAACAGGGACTTAAACCAGCAATTTGCAATTACACAACTTGAAGACGAAGGCTTCTTCTCAAAAATAAATTACTGCTTTTCCAAACACTTTTTTTTTGTTATTTATCAAATAGGTTCAGTGAAAAAAAAGTCAAAACAAATCAAGTTTTAGAGTGATCAGTAATGTGCACTGAGAAACCATGACAGCATTAGTTACAACAAAACAGCAGATTTTCTGACAGTTGGAGACACTGAGTTAGGAGCTGAGGCCATGCTTTCCCTCTTAGCAAAAGCTTCTAAAAAGTACATAGAACCATGTAACTAAACCCTCAACTTTGTTGGAGTTAGTGTTCAACAGTGGGGTTTTTTCTATTTCATTGGGGGGTGTGGGGGCGAGCCACCAAAATTTCACATTGCAAACCAAGTGACATCTAGACCAAGTTACTTCAATTTTTTTTCACATTTGACTTCAACACCTCTAAACCAAACTGCCTTCAGGGAATGAAACTAGCTGAAAAAAATTGCAAAGGAATAGATATAATCAGGAATAACCAACATTCTGCAAAAATGTATTCACTTCAGACAGCAGTAAAAAGAGCTAAAAATTCATAATTTAGCACAGAACAACAGAAGATCTTTTTTTTCCAAAGCAAGTATCTGGGAAGGAAGAAAGCAACTTGTGTTTTTAATATCTTCTTGAAGTTTTAAGAGTCAGAACATTTGACACTTCAGTTATTACAAACTGGCACAGTGTGTTTGTATACTAAGCACAGCCAAATATGACCAGCAACAGTGAGCACAATGGGTTTGCAAACTTGACAGAACAATATTCCTAATTAAACACCAAATTTAAACTAGCATTAGGTGTTTGGTTTTTGTTTGGTTGGGTTTTTTTTTCCCCTATAAATAAAGAGTTTCAGTTAAGGTCATTAATCATCCTGAATTTACACACAATGGTAACACATTAATGAGCTGGAACACTATATTGCTCTTTATATTTGGCCTAGTCACTCAAGAGGATGAGCCTCAAAATCTTTTATCCATGCCACGTCCATTGCTAAGACTTAACCAAATAGTACAGAGAGCACAATTCTCAAATACAATTCTGCTACAATGAAAAACATAGACGGCAGCAAACAAGTTTCTTAAACGCATGCAATCACAAATAAAGGAATAAACAGCTGCATGTCAAGACTAGAATCCTATCAAAATTAATCTCCTCATCCTGACAGCTAATCTTCATAAAACATGCATCTGCTGTGTTTATTGTTTCAGAGGTATCTAAAGGTCACTTAAGACAGAATTATTTTTGGTCTGCCATTAAAACTAACGGAATATTATTTTAAGTGTATTTTCTTTTTTATTCATTCTATATTGAGATCTTAAGTCATTGACACAAAATAGACCTACAATGACATCTTTCCTAGTAAATATACACATTTCCCAGTGAAACAGCATCACTAGAAGTGTCTTTCTTTTGGCTCTTCGTTCTAACTTTACGTCATGGGTTAATAATGAAGAACGTAGCCCACACACACACTTAACAACAGCAAACAGATTAAGATGCATGCCTCATTCCCAAAATCTCACATCAGGTGTTCCAACTAAACAGGGCAGTGACAAAGAATACTAATTGAAACTAATCTACAGTTACTAAAAATAATCTGTAACAATCCAACCCTGAAAATATCATATACTTCTGCAAACACTGCGAAAACATACAATGTCATTGGATATTGAGAAGAAACAACCCATCAAATAAAGGAACTTAAAACTTACATTCTTTTAACTGCTACTATCCTTGCAAACCATAACCACTTGCGAAACACACAAACGATGGCCAAAGGCATAAGAATAAATTTTAATTAGAAGAAGTTGTTACACCTTGATTAAAGTGTGGAATAAATACTAAAAGAAACACTTAACATTTCATTCTTGTTTTAAACCTAGTGCTTACATTTAAACCTTCTACAAAACCAATAATTATATACATACATATGTAAACACAAGTCAGCACTTTCCTATCACAGGTGCAATACACTGGCACAACAAACAAAAGGGGGAATATGCCAGTTTCTTCCCCACCCCCTCCCATTCCCCTGAAAGACATAATTTGATTGACATCAGTTCTGATGTTTTATGTCAATTATACAATAGTTGACAATGAGACTAAGAAAACTTTTGAGACAGGATAATTTACTCATTCAAGTCTCTGAAATACCAACAATAACATCTGACACAATAAATGGACAGTACTGTTCTACACACTAGAATTGCAATACCACAAATTCTGGTCAAGGGAAACAGCATGGCACATCAATTTATAATCAACTAGAATAAAGCATCCAAAACATTTTACTAGACAACATAAATCAGCTACCTCCTAATACCATTTGTAGTTTCTAATATTCTTTGTTTCAATACGAAAAATCCTCTATTTCCATGCATTCACCCCTTACACCGCTCACTCACATTCTCTCAAATGCTCCACAAGACAGGACAGTAACCTTTTTACCATCCTCTTTAGCATTATTACTCTTATGCACAGAGCCAACTTCAGATTAGTCTGTTAACTCAGTATCACATCTTCCCTCAAAGCTCCTTTAAGCTGGGGCCTATCATGACACCTGAAAAAGATTACTGTCCGCTAACATGTGGTCAGTAGGGATTGCTGATCCTGACTTAATTTATCCTCTGGAAAAAGTCTCTAACCCAAAGCCAACTACGCTGAAAATGGTAGCAATCTCCTAGCCCATTAATCTAATGCTAAATTGTAACTTAGTTTCATTAAATAGACATTATACCGAATAACTTAACAGAGTGGAAGAAATTATCGTTTGTTTCACTGTAGTTTTCATGTAGGTCATATTCTCGCCAAGAAAATACATAGTAAGTATCCATTGTTTAAAAGAATGCACGCATAAAAATCCAAGTTCAAAAATGCAAAAATCTATTCCTTACATAGCAAACTAAGAAACATGTTTTGATTCAAACATCCTGCAGCATTTACAAATTATAGCACACAAAAATATGCCAACATAAATAAGTTAAATTAAAGCTGACTTGTGCATTTTCACTATTAAACAAGCTGCAACATAACACCTAAATAGGAATGCTTAATACTCCCACTTCAATTCATATATATGGAGTATAGTTCAAAAACTACTTGTGTGATTCTCTTATAGATACATCTCTGTAGCCTCACTAAAACTGAGATATGGTAATTCAAACAATGTGAAGCCACAAACTACTTTGCTAAAATGAATTTGACTTTTCTCCTCATTTAAGGGCAAAGTGGAAGGTATAAACACAAACTATTTCAAAGACACACAGAAATACTTAAAAGCTCCAATTTGGGGAAAAAAAGGTAGAAGTATTAGAATATGAAATAAGAAGTATTAAAGAATGACCAGACTGAGAAGGTAAACATAAGTTCATTCTTCTCTGAATGCAAGGAAATTAAAAGGAACAGGCAAAATTCAGGAATATTCAGGAACCGTGCGCCACCTCATAAATGATACACGTAATAAGCAGCAGATAATCTGCACATAGACAGAATAATGTATTAAGTATGCTGCAGATAACATCATTATATATTATTATATGACGGTTCACAGAGAACAATTAGATTAGTTAAGGTAATGAATAGCGGGGCACAAAGAGTACATGCTCTCAAAAAAAAAGGGGTTTTTGTCTGCATGAAGGAATAACAAGCATATTAACACATGAAGGCAGCTGTGTGCATGCTATTCTATAGCTCAGCTTGCAGAGCACTTAAGAATTAAATGGGCACAAGTGTACTGATTAGGCAAATAGAATATTAGTCTTTATATCAAAGATAACAAATTCCAGACCAGAAATAAATTGCAAGATATAATCTGAGATGCTGTTTATGACAGACTTGCCAAGAATTTTAGAGAGAAGAGTATTAAGCAGTTAGTTTGTTGTTTCTGTGGGAGAGAAGAAACCCCATTGAGTATGGCATTTAAAAACTAAGATGTTGACAGAAACATTAAAAAATTAGAAAAGCAGAAGGCCTACAAACACCAAGAGAATATTCTATACTGATGCTAAAATGAAAAGAAAAGCCCACAAAATTTCTGAGAATAAGGAAGGTGATGTGTTCTGCTCACAGATGTGAGTAATTAAATAGTCACATGGCTGTCGTCTCACAGGCTGAGGAACCTGTTCAAAAGATTCTTCTTGATTCTAGCACACCGATCCTATTCACTGCACAGAAAGGCCCAAGGTGTATTTCTAAAGAGATTGTACAAGCATATCACAAAGTCAGTTAAAAGAAACAGCTATGTTATCCTCCAACTTCTGACATTTATCTTCATTTACAAAATCAAACATTTTAAACTGATGGACCACCGTGCCACAGTAAAAATGCTGGGGAATAACATTTTGGCACACAATTTCCTGTCCTCTTGCTCCGAAGTAAAAGACACCCTATAGCTACATGCTCTTCCCATGACTGCCTGAAGACACATTAACCTCCACAAACAGCATTAGAGATTTATATACAGTTATACAAGAAATCAACTTACCTTTATTTCCCTGTCCTTTAGGTCTCTGTATATAGGAAAGTGGAAAAAAAAAAAAGCAAAACAAGTTTAGTTAGAATCCTCTAATGCCTACTTCAGGGTAATTCCATTTATTTGCCAATTCTGCTCTTTTCAACTTAAATATCGGTTTAAAATATTATTAAAAACATGCTACTATAAAAATGATATATAAAAAAAACTACCAAAAAGTCCAACAAAATAATTTTAAAATTTAAAGCATTTTGCCAAAAAACATTTAAATCTAGTCTTTTACAGCATGTGAAGCTTAAATGGTGTTGAAAACCTGAACAACAAATGAATTTTGATTTCTCCCACACCAAGAAATATAAGCAATAAACAAAGCACAGAGTAAAAGAACAAATAAAGTTAGTAGTTTAAGATTACTGCCTGTACTAGAACTTCATTAGAACCTCATTATCATATGTCATCTTTTAAGTTGACTGATGGGTACTTATCAGAGAATAAACTACAATGTCTTGCTTTTGAGATATACAAAGGATACTGTAAACTGAACTGATATTGTAAGCTGAACTACGAGTTGTGCATTCCTCATCCAGGCAATTACATTGAGAAAATGATACCATTTGTACGAAGCTTTCACACAAGGAAATAATACCTTAAGGAGGATTTTTTTTTTTTTTTAGGATTAGTCATTACAAAACACTGTTAATCTGTCATGCACTAAGAATCACTGTAACAGTACAAGTTACAGTATCCTTAATTCCTCTATAGCAAAAATAAAACAGCTTAGAAAAACAAATGCTAGCTCATCAAAATCTAATTCATCTTCTCACATATGTACAACTAAGCAGGAGTGGGTGTCTGGGCTCCATTACTCTCTAACAATTTTTAGTCTTGAAAAATTCAATATTCAGAGGTTTGAAAGTTTAGGAGGCAACCACCTCCATCTTGCTTTTATGTGCATCTCTCTCAGAGTTACCCGAAGACTGTTTAACACTGTTCTATCTAAAGCTGCAATGGTTAGTCACCTCCCTCTCCCAAAACCAGAGAACAATCTCTTACAACCTTAAAACTGCCAACCACCTCATCTCTTGGGATGAATCTAATTCAGACAGAAAGGTATACAGAGACCAACAAGAGACATGGAACTAAAAAAGTTGGGATGAAAAAGCCAGAGCAATGAAAAGCTAAGAGATTACTGAGCTAGAAATAAGTGCACAGAAGGAAACTGGAGAGCATGTACAGAGACAAAAGAGAAAAAAAAAATTAAAGCCACCGAGAGAAAATAAAAGGGGGCAGGAGACTGCAGGGCCAAAACTTTTGGGGAGTGGCAGGGGCCCACGGAGGAAGTAGAGACCAAGACAGAACAGCTTCCAGCCAAAAAGGCAGGCCAGCAGAGGCCTCGCAAATATGAAAAAAATAACAATCTCTAAGCTCCGCGAAGAGCCAACTAAAAAAAATGCAGCACAGCGCAGGGAGAAAAACGGAGAAGAGGCGGCAGAACGGGAGGTCGCAAGGATGGAGCAGAAACCAGAGGCCCGAAGGGAGAAGAGGTGGGTGAGGAGAGCGGAAGGCACGAAGAGAAAGGACGCGGTTACGAGAAGCCAGAGAAAATTAGG